ACAAGTTTTACTATTTGACGAGAACTTCATTGAATCACGAACAATTAAATGACTTGGATATCCTGCAAATACGCATCTTGAGATGTTCTTTGATCGATATACAGTGCTAGAATGCTGGTCAGAAGATAGCCAATCATTTAAGTACTTATGTGATTTAAATCGGACAGAAATCATCGGTTGATTGCCAGATTAGCGTACATTATACCGATGGCTTTTGTCCGCTTCAAATTACATGCGTAGATAATAGAGAATCTACTATAAAAGAAAGGATAGTTGTTCAATTAAAATACTCAAAGTTTAAAAATTCATATAACTTTTTTTTTTTATTGATTCAAAATATCCATTTCTATTAGTGATATGATAATAGCATTCAAGTTGTTGACAAAAAACTGCTTTCTATTTAATGAATTAATAAATTCTATAGCGTAACAAAAAGTATAATATCTATAATTTTATCTATGGTATTCTAACTAAGTGGCTAAGATAAATATTTTTCGCAGCTAACAATGACGTTAGCAACAAAACAAATGAATCATTCAAAACACATTAATTTTTAATATTTCTATGCATATATGAAAAAGCTTTTCTTTCATATCTTTAGATGAAATATGATAAACATAATTTATTAACATATGTCAACCAATCAAAACTAAAATGAAGGTTATTCATTTCGTGAGCACACTTTTTTTAAATATTTCATCAATATGAATGCATAATTTTTTTTTTTCAATACTTATTCAATTCAATTTCTAAAAAACGATATTCATAATTATAAAATTTGTTCATGTCAAGTACGTACGTAATCGGAATAGTAATATGTATTCAATAATGATGATGATAATAATCAAGAAAAGATGTTTATAATAGCGATACAGATTTCATTGAACATGTCAATAATTATAACTAAATATTCAATCAATGAACAAAAAGATGAAATTCTAAGAGAACGAAGTCATCGACATATACGATATGAAAATAAAAGAAATTATTTTATCATTTTAATTTTTTTTCTTTATTTGGTTGAAAATGTAGAAATTCAAAGAGTTGTTGTTTTTCTTTTTTTTTTAAATAAATTTGAAATTTTTTTTTTTTTTCACAATCATTCTCAAATTGAGATATAAGTTATTCTATATTTTAGTTTATGATTTAAAAAAAAAAAAAAAAGTCGATAAGGAATTGGAAGTGTGATATTCATGTATTTTGTCAATGGCAAAAATTGTCGAATAGGTAATGCATAAAATATAAATTGATGACAAACAAATAAATATATAAACTAGAATTGAGTTATTCTTTTCTTTTTTTGTTAAACTGAAAAAAAAAAAAAGCTAGAATGTGAACAAATCATTTTCTGAATTATTTCAAAAAGAGGCGGGAAACAAAAGGTTTTGTTCTGGACAAATATTTTTTGTTGTAGTTAGTTATACAAGTCATCATCATCATTACCACGACCACCACTACCACCTATTAGAGAAAAAAAAAAACAAAGAAAGGTTTAGAAACGAAAAATTATAATTTTTTTGTCTCTTCTTACCACTTCCACCTTGTGAAGGACGTTCTTGATCAGGAAAACGAAATTGTGTACCGAAACCTCGTGATTGTTGTAATGTTTGAGCAAACATTTCATATTTACGTATATCATTATCACTAACTGATCGTCGTGCAAATTTCATTGCTTCTTCAAAATGATCTCGACGAATTTCTGGTACAAGATCAGGTTCATCTGCATCCATTGCTGTTTGTCCAGTACGTATTCGTTCTTTTTCTCGATTAAGATCTTTTTCAATTGATTCACGTATAGCTAATTTACATGCCCGTTGACATATTTCTGTTAAATCAGCACCACTAAAACCTTTTGTAACATTAGCCAAATATTGCATATCAACATCTTGAGCTACAGGTGACTTTCTTAAAGTCGATTTAAGAATAGCTATACGAGATTTTTCATCAGGCAGTGGAATATAAATTAATTGATCAAGACGACCTAAATATAAACAATATTATTTTATTCAATAACAAGATAAATTATCCTATAGAGAGATATTGTAATAATTAGTCATATAAAATTCTGTTGTTCATTCAATTTGCAGATGTGATACAAAAAGTGAAGGAAGAACGAGAGATTATCGCCATCCTGCATTGAAATCTATCTTTTCATTTTTATTTTCTTACCTGGTCGAAGAATAGCTGAATCGATAATATCCGGTCGATTTGTGGCACCAATAATAAAAACATTCTTTTTGGCACCCATACCATCCATTTCAGTTAAAATTTGATTGATAACACGATCAGCAGCACCACCACCATCACCAACACTACCACCTCGAGATTTAGCTGAAAGAGAAATTCTATGATTATTATTCGTATGTTATTTTCTTGTTTTTCTTACCAATTGAATCTAATTCATCGAAAAAGAGTACACATGGTGCAGCTTGACGAGCTTTATCAAAAACATCACGTACATTAGCTTCTGATTCACCAAACCACATTGTTAATAATTCAGGACCTTTAACTGAAATGAAATTTGCTTGACATTCATTAGCAATAGCTTTTGCCAATAATGTTTTACCTTAAAAAAAAAAACAAAGAAAATATTAACAGAAAAACATATATATATATATATTAACTTACCACAACCCGGTGGACCATAAAAGAGTACACCACGTGATGGTGTCATCCCAAATTTAAGAAATTTTTCTGGATGTTCAACTGGATATTGAACAAGTTCTTGTAATTCACGTTTAACATTTTCTAAACCACCAACATCTTCCCATGTTACAGTTGGTACTTCAACAACAGTTTCACGTAAAGCTGATGGATTTGATTGATTAAGTGCAAAACGAAAATTTTCTTGTGTAACAGCTAATGAATCAAGAACTTCAGCATCAATTGTATCTTCTTCTAAATCAATAACATCCATTTTTTCACGAATTTGTTGTAATGCTGCTTCCGAACATAATGATGCTAAATCAGCACCAACATAACCATGTGTTTCATTACCAATTTGTACAAGATCAACATCGTCACCTAATTTCATATTTTTTGTATGTATACGAAGAATTTCTAAACGACCAACAGCATCTGGTATACCAATATCAACTTCACGATCAAAACGACCAAAACGACGAAGTGCTGGATCAATTGAATTTGGTCGATTTGTTGCAGCCATAACAATAACATGTGAACGTTGTTTAAGACCATCCATTAATGTAAGCAATTGTGAAACAATACGACGTTCAACTTCACCATGAGTTTTTTCACGTTTTGGTGCAATAGCATCAAGTTCATCAATGAAAATAATAGCTGGAGAATTCTAAATAAATAAAATGATTTCAATAATAATTTAAATATTTTCTAAGATTATCATAGTTTTCTTCTCTTTCTCTCTAAACTGATATATTCTATATAATTATTCGATGTGTTACGAGTTGTTCTACAAAACGACATAGGTAGCTTTTCAAATGAAGAATATTCATCTATATCCAAGAGAATTCTTTGTGATATATTTGTTTATCTTTTGAAGCTGATCTTCATTTTATTTTACCTTTTCAGCTTCTTCGAAAGCTTTTCGTAAATTTGATTCTGATTCACCAGCTAATTTCGACATGATTTCCGGTCCATTGATTAAAAAGAAGAATGCACCTGTTTCATTCGCTACAGCACGTGCAATTAAAGTTTTACCTAAATATATATATATATATAATTTATTTCTATAAATAAAATTTGATTATTTATCATACCTGTGCCCGGTGGTCCATAAAGTAAGATACCTCGTGGTGGTTTAACACCAATTGTTTTAAATAATTGTGGATGTCTTAATGGTAATTCAACCATTTCTTTAATTTGTGCTAATTGTTTTCTAACACCACCAATATCATCATAACCAATTTCATTTAAAGATGCTTCTTCTTCTTCACGTTTTATTGGATCACCTTCACAATGTATAACTGTATCTGGTGCAACAATACAATATGGTGCTGGATCTGTTTCAATAACTTTAAATTCAACAGCACGCATAGCTGCACGTACAATAAAAACATCACCTTTTTTAACTGGTCGATATGCTTCAACAAAATATGGTTTTAAATAAACTTCAAATAAATTTCCTGTTATGCCTTGAACAGTATCATCAATAGGTAAAACATGTATACGTTTACCATATTTAACATCTTGACATGCTTGAATTGAAACAATATCACCGGAACGTACACGTAAATTATTTCGTACAACACGATTCATTCGTATATGATCAGTTGGACAAGTATCATCAGCAAGAACAATACATATTGTTTCACGACGTTTTTTACCTTTAAGTAGAACAGTATCACCACGAAATAATTGTAATTCGTCCATTTTTTGTTGTGATAATGCAACAACACTATTATCATCATTAACAGCATCATCAATAAGTAAACGATTTGGACGTTTTTTTTGATCTAATATTGCTGTCGCATATTTATCTTCCTTAGTTGGATCAACCACTCTAGCCATTTGTATTTAATTTTTTTTTCAGCGAAAAAGAAAAATTTATATGAAATCTAGAAGTATAAAAAATCTATATGTAAATGAACAACGATAAAGAAAATATCGTTCAATAATATTTTTATGATAATTAGTCAATGTTAATGAAATAGAACTATTCATTGTATAAGTAAGTATTGTTGAATATGACAGAGATAATTGATCAGATAGAAATTTTAATGATCGATGTGAACGGCAGAGAAATAGAATGGACGATTCTAAATAAAGAAAAGAACAATTTTGAAACTTTTAAAACACATTTCTGAATATCGAATATATTATGCGTTCGCACTTCTTTCTGTGAAGAAAATATGTGATTATATGCTGATTTATTTAAGAAGTATATAGCGAAGCTTTATAATTGAAATAAGTTTTCGTTTAAACTTATTTCGTGCAATTATATATGAAAATGATTATTTTCTTGTAAGCAAAAAAAAAACGACAACAAGAAAAAAGAATTAGTCTTAATTATAAGTATTTTCTTATTGGAAAATTTCTGTTTGATTAAAACCATCAATAGTCGAATGACATTGATCAGGTAAAATCATTCCTGCATGATTTTCTATGTAATTACGTTGATTTTCATTTTGTAATTGATGTATATTTGATGTATTTTGTCCTGCAATAGTCATTGATTGTTGACTATTAATATGAGCATAATTTGCTTGTAGATGATTATTATTTAGTATTGGTGAGTGTGGTGTTATTGGTATGTGAGTCATTTGCGTATAATAATCTCCAAGACCAAATTTTGCCATTGTACTGTAAACATATTCATTTGATGATAAATATTGACCATATTGAGCAGTATAAATAAGTGGATCCGCACGAACAACTCCAAGATGACGAACATTTTTAATAAGATCAACATGAGGAGCATCATGTGTAATAATTGTATTTTTTTGTATTGGCCTTTGTAGAACTGGCGGAGCTCGTTCGACGATTACACGTCGTTCCGGTGATGGCTTATAGGGAAGCCATTTTTCAATAATAACCGGTTGAGGCTTTGGTGGTAATGGTGCTTGCCGTTCGATGATTACTTTTCGTGGAAGTGGTGGAGGTGGAGGTAAAACTTTATTAACAGTACAAGGTGGTTCTATGCGAGGTGGCATTGGTGGACGTTCACGAATTATCATTGGTGGTGGAGTCATGGGAGCATTAGCACGTTGATGTATGACCAATGGAGGAGCTTCGGGAGGTAGAGGAGCACGAATTTCACGTACAACAATAGGACCTGGTGGTGGTGGAGTTGGCGGTTGTAAATAACGAATAGCTATATCTTTTCGATAAATAACATGTTCATTATTAGGACGTCGAATATATTCAGGATTTGGATCTTGATTGATCGGATATTGATTTAAATTTGGTAAAATTGTTTGATTAGCTAATTGATCAATACAATCGCTTGATGATGTACGTCGAAAAATTTCTTTTCTATTGATCAATGGAGAACTTGTAATACCAGTAATATGTGATTGATAAGCTTCGTTTTGATGTTGCATGCCAGACACGATTTCAATATTGTTTGCATCATGTACCGCATGCATAGTTTCATTATTCATCGATATTGGTGATCCACGATGTTCAACAGTATTTGTCGAATAATTCATTGTTTCAATTGCAGTTTCAGCCATGGGATTTCTCTTTGATTAACCATGTCCCTCTCTATCATCCTTTTATACTCTTTATCTTAGATTCGAATTAGTAATTGATGAATCAATAGACATATGTAATAACCATTCAAGTGTATCTGAATATTCATTTTACGTAGGATGCGAAGGTATTTGTTGATGAAGATTTACTATTTAGTTAGGTAAGCAATATTAGTAAAACTGGTAAAATCATATTTAAAATATTTGAGCTTATCAAATAGATGAGTAAGAAATATGGAAAACTAGGCGCATGTATCTTTACATTAGATAAAAGAAATGAATCAAATCAACACTTACCTTAATAATATGTATTGATTTTATAAAATATTGATACTGATGAATTTTCACGTAAGTTAACAATTTGATCATGAAGTATTAGTATTATTTGAAATTCAAATTCTTCAATGATGTATAAAATAAATTCTTTTCCCCATAGACATATAAGTGTACAATAATGAGTAGCAAGTGTTAAATGTAATGTACGTATAAAAATATTCATACGATACAATTCATTCAATACTCAATGATTATCAACATCTGATCGAGCACAAACTTGTTGTACTACAATACATGGCATAATAGATGCAAATTGTAACTGAAGTTAATAAAATAGGAAAGTATGAAATTAATGCTAAATTTCTTTTTTCATATTTACTTTCTTTTTTTACAATGTAAAGATGCATGTTATAATAATGAATGTACCATTTGCTTAAGATGAATTAAAATAGTTTAATTATGTTTTAATGAAAACAAAACAAAGCAAGACAAACCAAAGGTTTCTAAGAAAAAGTAAAGCATTATATTAGAATAAAAAATAAAGTCAACAAATATACTTGATGCTTTTTTTTTTTGTTCTTCAAAAGCAACATACACTTCTCTTATTACTTTATAATATATTTGTTGATCCTAAACAAGAAAAAAAAAACAACTTTTATCAAATTATGTTGAATTCTATCTCTCAAAAGTCATAAAGTTTTCCAGTACGTGTGACATTGTAAAATTTAAAATATCTGTCATTTGACTAAAATGTGACAAATTATGATTAATTATCCTAAGTTGTTAAGTTCATCCTAATAATCATAGATAAATCCTTTCTTTTGGTCAGTTTTTAACGCTATTTACGATTCTTTTTTTTTTTCAATCTGATCAGCTTACTAACATCTTTTAACTTTGCTAAGTCTGGCTAGAAAAATTTTCACAGATACTTGTAAGTGCTCCCTTACGCAGAAAGGCCTCCAACAGATTTATGCCCTTTTCGATAATATTTTATATGCATCTGGAGGACCTTATACTAAAAAAGGCTTAAGAATTGGGTTGATGAGATTTCTTTCAATAGATATGAATATATAAATCCTATGGAAACCGTTCTGAATTTCTTACAAGTTACAAATCAATATAATGCATATAAACCTATAGACAGATTTTCGAAAACGAAAATAATAAATTTCGATCTGAAATTTTATTAGTAATCAAATCAAGTTACGTTTAGAATATTTTGAAAGTGTCAATAAAACTAACTATTTCTTTTTTCATATTATTTGAAATGACTCATAGAAGTGAAAATATTTATATATCTATCGAAAGAGGTCACATCAGCCAGATATTTTTCTTAGAATAAAGTCCCTCACATATACGTGGAATATCACTGGAAACGACTTCACGTTCCACTTAGGGAATTGCAGTGTGTGCGATTTTGTCTAAGTTGTTTTCAAAAATAATTTCAGCTCTATTGGTTCAAAACGATACGTCTGTATTACAGCGTAAACATGTTACTCCTTTAGGTTTTACTTTAAATACCTTAGAAGGATAGAATATAAAATTCTTTTGAAGACTGAATAATCTTCGGAGCTGGATAATAACTATGGTACCCATAATATTTTCTTTTGTAATATAAATATGAAAACTAATATTGTAGATAGACATAGTTTGTCATGCTATGCAAAATGACGTATTGATCATGTGTATCGATTAGCTTATTCAGGGTAAGCCACGTGCGATATGGCACGTGTCTTATTCTGCATAAACTAGTCGATAAACATGATTATTACGCCATTCTATATAGCATGAAAAACTACGCCAATCTACAGTATTAATTTTTATATTTAGATTACAAAAGAAAATATTATGGTTACCATAAGATATTAAGTAAAAGTGATAGTCCCTGTAAGACTATTGAATCTTCGAAAAAATATTTTTTTGCATTCACAACAAAAACAAAAAAACATAGAAATATGCAGCATTTTATGCTCGAACATTCTGAAATTGAAACCTAACGAAGTGACGAATTTTTCTGAAACATGCAATTTTTATTTTGTATAAGTTTAAATTTTTTCGTATGATGATTTCACAAAATAAATATAGAAGAAATATATATGCCGTGATGCTGAAAAAAAAAAGGCATGACATACATAAATTGAATAGAAGAAATTCAAAAACTAACAAGTTATGCATAGAATTTTTGTGGAATCTTATGTTAAATTAATTTTTTGTTTTTTTCTTTCTACTAATGAAAATTCATGTGGGCTTGAAATTTTAATTTCTTATTTGATCAAAATTGTATCGATTTTTTTGTCATCTATTAATATTATTATTAAATAGATTGATTCTTTAAACTTACAGAATCAAGAGAATATTATTTTTCTTTTTTAGATTCATTTGCAGATTTTTGTATTTATTGTTGGTTTCTGACTATCAGTAGTCAGTCAATGAGCTAAACAAAAATTTCGTAACATTTTTTCTTGAATTACAAAAAAAAAAAAATTAACCTTGTATAGAAATATCTGAATTCTGGCATTGATGTAATAACAACTTAATTAGGTTGTACTCGATGATATTTCATTATATTGAACTTCACAATGATTTGAATCAATAGATGTTACTGTTTTCGATAGAAAACTTCAATTTGACCTATGAAAATAAAACGAATATTATTTTCTTCAGTTTTTCAATGTTTTACATCTAAATATTAAGAATTCAAAATCTTGTGTAATCGGGTTTTTTTTTCGTCAACATTATCATATACATATAATTGAATTCTATGAAGAAAAAAACAAAGCTTATAAAAAAGAAAGTTTTCATTATTTCTTTCCACTTACTTATAATAAAAATCGAATGTCATCGGTTTTTTCCAAGGTAAAATCTTTAAAATATTTCGACAGATAAGCAATGGAACTAACGAACAAAATTTACAAATTCAACTGGTTGTTGTCATCTGAAAAGAAAATTCTATTTTGACTGTCGAAAGAAAATTTGACTTTATATTCTTATACTTTAATAAAACTTACGTGTTTCATCTATAGTCAAATGAATGACTATACTTGCACAAGTAACAGAGAAACGATGCAAGGTGAAAGTGTTTGTGTGCACAAAAAATTGAGTTTGGACATGAATCATAGGGTTCTTTATTAATATATTCAACCTATCAGCTACTGCCAAAGCTTTAGGAAGAAAGAGAAACAGAAGAAAACAAGTATTGTTCTTTTTCTTCTTCTTTTTTAAGGTTAGTCGAGAAACTTCTTTGCTTTGTAAGATGTGTTTTTTCCAATGAGATAATTTTGTTTAATACAAAAAAAAAAAAAAATTAGACTAAACAAGTCAGATTCATTGATCAAATAAACGAATGATTATATCGTACATTAATAGAAATACAAAAAAAAACCGTGAAACGTCATCATCATGAGTAAGCATGTTGAGTACATGTATTTAGTCATCGAATGTAGAAAATTCTATTTCATCATTGTTTAGTTCTACAAGAATGAATAAGAAAATGACAACACAATTATTATTTTAAATATGCATCTATATAGATGACGTTACTTTACAGTCACTGAGTTTGTCAACGAATAATTCTGTTGATATTGAAGTAATGGAAAACAGCTTGACAACAACGTATTTTTGATAGTTTTCTATAATGTTAATCATCGAATCCAGATAGTGATTTTAATAGGTAGCGGAGTTTTCTATGTAATTCTTTCTTTACTAGATGAAGTATAATGACAAGATTTCTCAAAAACAAGACATGATAGTTTTCAGACCATAGAAACTATTTTTTAACAGTGCTGCTTTGAAAAAGAAAAAAACCTTTTCTCGATTTCTGTGATATTTAATTTTTGAAGGGAAAATCGTAGAAAATTTGGCAGCCCTTCACTTTGCGCTCTTCGGAATGGTGTTGTTAAAGAAGTAGCATTTAGGACTTGAATACTACTATGTTCGGTTTTTTAGAAGCTTTGCCATAGTAAAAGAGGGTCCAAAATTTTCGTCTCCTCTCTGTGAATTGACTTTATTTATACAAAATATAAATGTAGATAATTGATTAAAATGCACAGTTTTGCAGCGAACGGGTGTGGGTGTGGTTCTGGATATGAGTGGTGACATTAGTTTCACAGCCACCCGTCACACCTGCAACACACCCACATAATAGAACAAGAACAAAGATCAGTACCAGTCATTTGCTTTTTGTCATGATACAGAGAAACTCTCGATCAACTTTTGCTGTTTTTTATTCTTTTCGATCTTTTACTATTTAGTCATTACCTTTTAATATATCTGTTGCATGTCTAATAAAAGTAAAATGTCATCTTATTTCACAAGAAAATCAGAAGTTCAGTGACAGGAAATATGTAGTACATGCTATGGTACCACTTCGAAACTCAGATATCGTGAATATAAACGAAATAGTTTCATACATGAAACGGATGATATGAAAGAAGCGTCTCATATTTAAGAAGACTTAAAACATATGTTCGAAATACAATAGGTGAAGAAAGATTATCCAGTTTATCTTTAATAAATATTGAATATAGCTTTAAGAATGACTTAGATACTATTGTAAATAAATTTTTACCGAAAGACAACGAAAGAAAAAAACAATTTTGAAAATGAACAAATTGACTATACATATGTAGATTTTGAATTGTAAAGCTTAATTATATTAATCGGTAAAAAAATTTATTGCTTGTCCTAGAAACTTTAGCTTGCGCCAC